CACCCACACCCACACCCACATCCACACTCACACCCACACCCACACCCGTCATATCGAAAAATTAAAAACTGGAAAGTTTTTTTTCTAAAAACGGCAAATGTTAAGATTATTTTTCAAAATTGGAAAATGATGTGAAAGTAGTTTCTCAGATGTTTAAATATCTAATATTTTTTCCATTATCAAGTATCGTTTATCGTGTTTATTTTTATCTGTTCAAATATTATCTTCACACATATTTCAGGAAAAAAACCAAACAACCATATATATCAACACTATAGCCACCAAGAGAGACACGACATAAGTAATTTAATTAATCGCAAACTCATTCGGTTCGTTTTTCAAAAATCAGTGTCACTGATACAGTGGTCACTTGAATACGCTATAATTTCAAAAAACTCCGACAATCATAGCATCTGGTATTATGGTTCCTTCGAAGTTCTAACATCACTTATTCTATTCATAACTTATAATATGTTAGTGCGATATCAGTATGCATATGGTTTAATGAACACGTTATATTAAATGTCCAGTCTGTGTCGATTGAAACTGGACTATGATGACATGACCAACGACCATGAATCTGAAACAATCATTTCTAATCATTTGCTCAAATTAAAAAAAGATTTTATTTTTGAGCTTAATGAAGTATTCAATGTATTTTGAACTTCATTTTGACTTTCATCGAGCATGACTGGTTAGTTCGCTGTCATTAAGATTTAACGAATCGAAATTATTGTCTTTATACTTTACAGTATGTTTTTATCGACATTTTCATAATGTGTTGGCTACTTTTGGAATACTTGTGTTCTCAAGAGAAGACGAAACTGTTGATTGAGTAGGAGAGTAATTGTTAAGCGTACAGTCCTCGATTACAATATCTCATTAGTTTTACGTTATCTCATTGACAATATTCATAACAATATAATATCGAATATTTTTCAATAAGATCATACTTATAAAAGTTTTCCCCCTATGCTTTATGATCGAATATGAAAAGCATGGTGAAAATTTAAAAACATTCTTTTTATTCATGCAAAATTTTGAAGACCAACATTTGTCTGTTTCGTCCATACTAAGTCGTCAGAGTACTTTCGAGTTATATAGCATTTCTTACAGCTAATTTTTCTCTGTAAAACTGCATGTATCGCTTTTTCTTCAACCGCTATTACATCGTTTCCGCTTTAGTAACATCCACACACGATTATCGACAATGTAAATCACAGAAATGTCTCACACTAATGTTAGTTTGTTATTTTCGAAAAGTTTTTCTTACATGTACAGAACGAATAGTATAAAATTAGGAGAAAGAAAAAATATCGAAAGTGCTATAAATAGAATTTAAACCTGACCCTTCACCAACTCCATATGGACAGTCTGTGAAAATATCTATGGAGTGTACTCTCAAAGGAATAGTTGATGCTGAGACTCTGTTTATAGCACTTTCGATTTTTTTCTTTCTGGTAATTCGATGAATATTCGTATAAATAGTGTTGTACATCGTTGAAGCTCAACCAAGCGACGAAATTTTGTCAAAATTGAAAATGTCAACTAGTAATTATCGATGATTTTATTTTTTCAAATACATGAGATATTACTAGTTCAATATATTCATGGTTAGTTATCGAACAAAAGGATCAGATGTGCATTTGAACTGAAAAATCAATGATTGCATGAATTGACTACATAATATGTTGTCTGTACAATGCTAGTAATCTGAATATCATGATGTAAAAAAGAAGTCGCTTTTCTCTGACTTATACTGATACTATGTAAGTGAATTAAAGTTAGAGCTTCAGTGTGACTCGTCAAACTCGTAATCATTGATAGAATTCTCTTAATGAATCACACAATGTCTTTATCTTAAAAATTGGTTATTCTAGCAAACAATACTTATCAGATCAAAGAGAAGGAGATTGTCCAAACGCTCAGAAACAAATTTCTTGGTGGTATCGATAACGTATGTAATCTTTTTATTGGGTTTCCCTTTTAACATGAATGACAATTGGTTTTAAATAAACATCTGTCAAAAGTATCGATTATAGCAACTATCACTCATTCATAAACTATCTCAGAGTGTGGGTGTGGCTGTAGGTGTGGGTGTGAGCAAAGAGAAGGACAACACGCACATCCCCACCCACACCCACCCTCAAGTCTTCAGACAAAATGTTTGTCCGTTTTTTCGCTGCTTAAAAGGAATCAATGATGATAAAAAAAACATACTCAGCTAGACTCAAAATTTTATGCTCTTTCTGATTTGAAGTTGTTTTACTGTGAACAAATATTTGGAAGGATCGAAAAATGTAGTCTATACAGAGTTCTATGTAGGGTATTTTGGTATGTTAGTTAACACTTATTCAATTCAAAACAAGAAATAGTTTTT